CTGTACGTTGTCTGGGTAACTTTAAAATGGAAATAATACTGTTTTGCAATGTAGGAATTTTTAGTCTCTCTATATACTGGTAGTTTACTTAACTATTTGTGTGTGTTTCTCTGTTTTCTTTGTTCTTGTGTCCCTGACCTAAACATTTAAACATCTTTTCTTTTAACTGGCTGCCTGGCATTTTTAACTCTTAGGTTATTTCGGGCAGCCAGCGCCCCTATCATCGTCTGTACTATTGTTATAAATTTTTATTTCTTGCATATTATGGGGTTAAATAAAGTGTTGTTGTTGTTGTTGTTGTTGTTGTTGGATATGATTCTAGACCTTTGAAATCTGACAATATTTTGCTCGCGTAAAAGCCTTAAAATTTTGTAAATATTTAAAAATCCATAAAATATTCCAGTTGCAATCAATTCAAGAACATGACCGCTCAGTATGTGTATTAAACCCCTTTTAATACGATAAGAAGCTATTTGGGTTGAATGATATTTGAATTCGATTGAAATCGTGGTCTTTTCGTAGCCCGGTCTAGGGGCCCGAAAAAGCGGTCTGGCGGAGGCCGTCAATCGCCCGAACTTGACATTCGCCGTATCGCCAAAATATTTATCCAATGAAACTAAAATTTATATTTTCATTGCTAGAATACCTAGGCGAGTCTGCATAATTTTTTTGGGCTTTGTCAAAAGTTTTATTTTTCCTGCCTGTGGTCGATATTTACAGACATCCGCTCTTAAGCATATACGCGTAGCACCATATCACGCAGCCAGTAACGGATTGGCCGCAATCATTCATTGGTTCAATCATTCAAGTATCAAATGAAGGCGAGTAAAGGCGGGAAGCTTTGCATCCAGCAGTGAATTGCTAATTTCCTGTTAGCATACAAGTCAACAACAAATTTCACTACCGGCAGGACACCAGCTGGCGTGTTCCTTGGACGCAAACTTCGCACTAGACTGACCCTTCTTTGTCAAGTGTGGGCGAAAAGGTCATGGATTAACAATCGAAGCAGAAGGCAATACACGACGCGCGCCCTGGTGACGGGATCTGGGTAAAAGACCTGCGGGAAGAACACAAGTGGTGACCAGGCTCAGTTACTGAGCAAAGTGGTCCGAAGTCTTACGTAGGATAGTTGAACAACGGAAGGGTTTGGAAACCTCATCTCGACCATATCAGACGTGATTCCATGGACAGCGCGGTCGCTGAGAGGGATTCTGAAAGAGCTCCACAGGAAGCTGCTCCAGATCCCGTTCCACAAGCCACCGTGAGTCCAGAGGACCCCTCGCCCCCTCCAATTCCCGTAAACATGCCGATCTCGAATCCCGTCAAACCTGGAACGTTTTTTGACGTCATACTACGTGCACTTTCATCACACTCTTGGAGTGGCTGGTCGCATGCTTTTGAGTATTTTCGATAGCAGAATAAAAAGTCTGTTGAATTTCTAAAGCTCGATCTGTTCTTACGCCTTACGGAACGACGCAATACGTAACAATACGCTATGATACATACCGCATTTTTTATATTCCCGTAAACTTTGCATTTAATTTAGCACATTATGTTGCTAGCTAAATGCACCCCACAGGTAAAAAAGAGATTTTAGAAAAAAGAAAGAAAAATGACGTTACGAAAGATTTTCTTCAAGGGGATTCGAACCCGGACCATCAGATTCAGTTAGAACTAAAAATTAACGCCTCTACCCACTGGACTACCTCTCTAAACGCTGACAGTTCGAATTAAAAGAGGTATGTATTCCTTCTCTATGGTGATTGACAGTTTTCAAGGATGACTTTTTCGGATTTTTTTTTTAAATTTCCGAGTAGAATTAAATCTTTAACTGATTGAAGCTAGACGTAAAGCTCACAATAAACCCATTAATACTCTTTCAGGCTTGGTCCATGCCGGGGAACGTTTATAAAATTTATGAACGTTAACAATCGATCGCGCGGCTACCGACTGAACCGTATGACCGTACGATTCTCTCCCCGCTCGTAAGGTGTCTTTTCGTCGGTCGGGGAAATCATCAACACAACATTGTTCATCATTATTTCTATTGTTTTAGGTTAGGGTAGCTAACCATTTGGCTTTAAGGGTTTGAAGAGCTGGTACATGACCTCTCTCCCCAGAATGAAGAAAAACAATATGGCCGCCAAATATATCCTTCACTTTTTTTAAAGTTCTCCTTTATTAACAAACGTTGAACATTAATTTATTTCGGCAAACAAACAGTAAAGTTGAAAAAGGATTTTACAAAAGTTTTAAGAGTAGGTCTCCTTTTCGATTTGAACTTGCAACATCAGTCAATGTACGCATTTCTTAAACTTCTGGCTCAGTTTTCGTTTGCTTCTGCTTTGAAAATGGAATAATAATTACTCAGAGACAATACAGTCTAAAGAATTGTTGAGAAAAACAACAAAAACTTGCCAATTTATGACAAAAAAGGTACTTTAAAAAGGAACTAAGATATTCAAAACGCTTTGATCACGTGACTGATGTGACTGATCACTTTCCCGCAAATTTTCTCTGCCGTGTGATAAAAGGTTGACTCTCTACAGCCCTCGGGCTGCCCCCTTGAATTCTAAATGCCGGACGTCAACTGGTTATTTTTAAATGCACCACACAACTTAAACCTCAAATATGCTATTTGTTTTTAACTCGTTAATAAAATAACGTGACTGATGACGTCATTACCTTGGATATGACATAAGAAGATATTTTATAGCAAATGTTATCTTGTTGTGGTCTGACAGTCTTCTACGTATAAAATTGTCAAAGTTATAAAGCGTTTTAAAACGTTGCCTCAAACGATTCTGGGAGATTTATATGATAATTACCTGGTATAATTTAGTTTTATAATTATTGTTATTACTATTATTGATAACTTGCGGAGTATTTTGTAACGATAAAGGAAAAGTTACTTTGACCTTAAACCTTGGTCTCGCATATCATTTTTTTACCATATTAGTAAGACTTTATTCGACTATAACTACGTTTACATAAACATTTTACAGTTTTGTATGCATTCATTTCGATTTTAGGGAGTTAGACAGCTTCTCCTTGTGCTGTTATGCTGATACTAGAATTATCAACAAGGAAGTGGACTGCAAATACCCATTGTCTTCGCAAGACTCATTTTCAAGTTGCAATCGCATGATTGAGGACTCAGGTCCAAGAAAGATCATTTGGCTGCTCGGTGTTCTTGCTGTGCTTGGTAACCTGGCTGTAATAGCTTGGCGTCTCATTAGGCGCGACGACCACCCGGTTCAGACCTGTCTTCTGACGAATCTCGCGATGTCCGACTTTCTCATGGGAGTGTACCTTATGATTGTTGCCATTCAAGATCAAATTTGGGCAGGTATAATTTTCGATTACTAGTGTTTCGGTGGGAGTAATACAAGTTCTTTCTTTACTGACACAGCATTTATCTTAAGCTTGATTATTTAGAGCTTGGTTAGGAAGAGATTTAAAATCAAAATGATGAAACAGTACACAACCCTTACATGGCCTTAAATTTGAAGAGATCACACTGAATCTTACCTTTTGAGGTCACATCAAACTAAAGCTTGTACACAGGCTTCGACTAGCCTGTTCCAGTCAAGGTAAAGGCACGCGAAAATATGAGATCATGATCTGGGTAAACCAGGGGGTGGTGGTAGTTTCTTCCCGTTTTATTTTCGTGTTCGCTTTCCCAATTTCTCGGGCCCGACTGTCTCGAAGCCTGGAACCACGATGGTCGGTTGTTAGGGCTTTTGCTCCCGTTTGGTCTTAAATTCAATTTCTGGCTTACAGCGGGGTAGTTTATATTTCAAATGAAGCAAAACATTAGAACATCTTAATTGGAGAAAAGTTTTCTTTAAATTTTTACAATTGTAAAGGTATTTTTGACTTTTCTTGAAAGTATGACGTCATAAGTGACACCTATTTTTAGTAACAACGTTAAAAATTTGATAAGCAGTGTTCAAAATGCTACAAACATTTTTGTTACAGAAAAACAATATTTACAGTGAAAACCCCATCTCAATCGGATAAAATGGCGTGAAGTTACAGGTAATTAAAGAAATCAAATTTCCCGCCTCATGACCATATATGGTCAAACTTTAGGGGTATTTTAACGCGAAAACAATGAATGTATTTACAACGGAAAAAAGACAAAGCTGCATAAAATCAAAATTGTAGTTTTTTGAATTCGGCATATGTGGTGCTATGACGCGTATTTCGTCACAAATTACGTCATTATGACGTCAAAATGACGTAATTCGTGACGAAATACGCGTCATAGACCACACATCCTAAACTCAAAAAACTACAATTTTGTTTTTATGCAAATTTGTCTTTTCTCCGTTGCGACTACCTTCATTGTTTTCGCGTTAAAATACCCCTAAAGTTTGACCATATATGGTCATTTGGCGGGAAATTTGAATTTCTTTAATTAAATGTAACTTTGCGCCTTTTCATCCGATTGAGATGGGGTTTTCACCAGAAATCATAGAATTCTATACAGAAAACTAATGTAAAATTTTTAGCATTTCTTTCCTGAATTTTCTTTCTGATGCCAAATTTGGACATCATTTATGACGTCACACTAGAACTCACATGGGATGAAATAAACACCAATAAATAGGTAATTTATCAACTTACTTCCTTGCCAAGTTTTGTTACATTCCATGCATTCTACTTCTCTATATGGCCCTAAACTCTCAGTTTTGAGAGGTGTGGGAGCAAAAGCCCTAGCAACCGACCACCGTGAACATTCAGGCTAAACTTCGATCTGGTGTCAATGAATTAAACTTTTTCTTTTGTAATTTACAAGTGTAGCTATTGATTTTAGACTCTAAAACAAATTAATTTGCACTCGTAAAAGTTTTATTAAACTGACCCCAGTCTTAGCTACTATAATACACAACGTGACTTCTTTTAAATAATAATATGACCTGGAAGTTATTTTCCGGGTACAGCATACAATAGGGTGCAAAGACAAGTGAGTGTTATCATAATACTGAAACAGTGCTTCATTTCCAGGTCGCTACTTTAGCTTCGACCTCACTTGGCGATCGGGAACACTTTGTAAACTTGCTGGTGCTTTATCAGTGCTGTCTAGCGAAGTCTCGGTACTAATGCTGACTGTTATAACCGCTGATCGATTGATCAGCATCGTCTTTACATTCAGCTGTCGCCGATTCACGCTAAAGGGAACTTACGTTATTTGTGCAGCCGTCTGGGTCATCGGAATCATCATTGCCGTCGTTCCAACAACTGATCTCCCATATTTTTCCAACGAGGACAGACAATATGGATTTTACGGTATATTCGCTTTCCAAGTAAAACTCCGCCCCCTTAATTTAATTTTCCACTACTCTCGGGCTATTATAATCTAATGGATTAAAGCGTCTTGATCAGTCTACCGTAGTCGAGTTATCTCGAGCAAAGTTTCGTTTAGCAAATCTTAGTAGACTGCTTGACAGGAAATTGTCATGGCAAAAGAATACTGCGCTCTGTAACTTGTGGGATAAAATGGTTATCGCCATCTTCATCATCATCATCATCATCGTTATTTGCTTCTTGGTCTTCCTCTCTCCTTATCATAATTAGCCTGTCATACTATCTGATATTAAAGACCGACTGAAATACGTAATTCGTATTTTTTTTTCTTTAAGGGCGTTCGTCAGTTTGTCTCCCTCTCCAACTGTCCACAGAAAGGCTGGCCGGCTGGGAGTATTCAGTTGCCATATTTATCGCTTTGAATCTCGCTGCTTTCCTTTTCATCATGACAGCTTACATCGCCATTATTTTTAAGGTGTTTAAGTCACAGCGGAGAATCAAGGCACATGGAGAATCAAAAATCAATAACAGCCTCAACAGAGAGTCGGCCCTCGCACGGAGAGTGTTCGCCATCATCTTAACTGACTTCTGTTGCTGGATTCCTGTGATAATTTTGGGTATTCTTGCCCTCGTCGAGAAGTTCAATGATCCTGAAGGAACGGCCTACGTGTGGTTTGCTGTGTTTGTCCTGCCGGTTAATTCATCTGTTAATCCTGTGCTCTACACGTTTTCAACACCGAAGGTAGAAACGCAAATGGGAAACCAATTAAGAGCCAATGTCAGTAAGAATTGGAGATTATCCCAAAACTGCGGACACAGCTCAAAATTCTTTGATACTTTTTACGCTGATAGAGTATTTTATCGTAGTAAACAAAACAGGGTTAGTTTTCAAGTTTCTAATAATTGCGTTTTTAAGGGGAATTAAATATAATTGGTCCGTTTTGAAAAAAATGATTTCTTTGATGAAGCACCCCCCCCCCCCCCCCCCCCTTAGGCTACTGCAGGTTATTTTCCCGCCTTGTCAGTCCCGGGGGGGGGGGGAAATTTGCAAATTTTGCCCGATGAAGCGGGTAAGCCGGGCTAACCGGGCTGGCTCACTTCATATAAGCAGGCCCTTAACCTAGCCTCTTCCCCAGGCAACTCCCCATTCCCCTCCCCATTTGATCATTCTCGACTTTATTACAAGTCCCCATATTGTGCAAGACATGGCATTTGGCGAAATAAACACCTAATGTCGTACTAATGTTAATACCAGGACGTATTACACAGCAGATTTTCAGTTTTTTGCCGAGACCAATTTTACTCCGATGAGAATGCGGACACATATTCGAGTACTAGAGGTATGCTGCCCATCAGTGCGCACGTCTCTACAGGGCTTCGATAACTTCTTAACACAAGACACTAAAGCAATAGAAGATCTTAGCGAGATAACAGACAAGATAGCAGATCAAGTAAAGTCACAAGCCTGGGAGAAGGAAACCAAACAAACACTTACTTTCATCAACGACTTGTTTTACTGGGTAACACAATGTAAACTACATGCATATGACGATGATCATCAGTTATACTCTTCTAATGTTGACCCAGTAGCCCTAGAGGACTGTATTTGTCGTGAAGTGAGAGTTGCAGACGAGTGGTATCGCAGCAATAGAATGATTGTAAATGAGACAAAATATCAGGCTATCGTCTTGGGAAGAACAGGCCACTCCTTCTCTTTTCCATTAAAAGATTCTTTGGATATATTTGGAATAAATATTGACAATAGCCGCTGCGTTTCGATAATTATTATCAAATATTTGTAAAAAGATAAATAGTCAGTATAATGTGATGTTAAGATTTCGTAAACTGATCTCTAAAAATACTCTTTTAAGATTATGTAAGGCTTTTATTATGCCACACTTTAACTATTGTTCGTCTGTTTGGCACTTTTGTGGTGCGCGCAATGAGAAAATTGATACCTTAGAAAAGCGAATTCTTAGATTTATCTTGCAGGATTATAATTCTCCATATGACTCTCTACTTAGTAAAGTAAATTCCAAATCTCTGTATTAAAGACGACTTCAGACTTTGCTAATTATATTACACAGAAGCCTGTTTTTTACCCACTATCCAGGCTATCTAAGAGATATGTTTAGTCTCCTGTCTACATCCTATAGCCTACGCGGTAATTACATTTTGTCTCTACCGTCTGCAAGAAGTACTACTTATGGTCTACACTTCTTTTCGTACATGGCTTCAAAACTGTGGAACTCTCTTCCAGATTCGTTTAGAACTTGTGACTTTCCTGATTTCAAGCACAACATTCTACAGTATGACTCTTTTTAATAGTTTAAATTTTAGAATGTTATAATTTTTTCGTTTTTGTAGTTTGAAAATCATACTTGTAACTCGAAGATACTAACTTATCTTTAGCTACTTTAAATTCGAGGTTAAATAAAGTATATGTATGTATGTATTCGGTCTGCCAAACAATATTATAAAGATGAAAGGCCATCAGTCCCTGCATTATACTACCTAGTAATGATGCTAAACCTCGATACGCGCCCTGTTTAAGAGGTCACAACCTTCAGTAAGTCCCAAACCTCTTTCCTATATTTAAACGTTTTTACCCTAACGCGGCTCATATCATTAATGAATAATAATAGTAACAATAATGATGATGGTATGACTATGATGATGATCACGATATATATAATAATCGATCATGTTTTAGGTGCACGTTACAATGGGATCAAAAGTTGCACTGTTTAACGTTTTCCTTAAGTGACCCCAAAAATAGCTGGATGGAATGAATTAACAAGTGTGCTGTCTACCATAGAACGTGCTCAGAACTTCAGTCTGAAAAAGAAAGAGATGACATTAACTGATTAGTGAAACAAGCTAAAAAGGATATTTGGGCGTGGCAAGCTCACCAATTCCGAGCAGTTAACCAGGATCAAGCAAAATACTACGAGTTAGATGCTTTAAGTCGCCGTTCAGCATTATTATTCATCAAGATCTTGTAGTCATGGACTGAGTCGTGAAATTCTTGCCGCGCAAAGTTTCGCGAATCACAGTGCGACTGGTTTGCTAAACGTAGCATTCCTTGGCACATCACAGTGGCTTTTACAAGACCAGAAGCAAATGCCCCGCTTGAGAAGCTCACTTTTGTCCACCTGTTTCAGAGCTGCCCTCAGGATATCGTTTCAGTAACTGCCATTTTACAAGATGTTATTGAGACGTTAAAGGAGCATCTGCAGTAACTTCAAAAAGTGTATTGCAAACAGGACAACGCACGATGTTATCATTCTGGCTCAACAATTGTAGGAAGCAGATTAAACAGTCTTTCTCATGTCAAGGTTTAGAGGTTCGACTTTTCAGAACCACAAGTGAGTAAGGGACAAGCCGACCACGAGGAAACGTCTACTTGAACTAGGGGCACGATGCGAACAATGCTGCACAGATGAAAGAAGCCATGGAATCAAATGGAGGAATTCCTGGTGTTATTGTCAAGTCTGTGAAGCTTTCCGAAGTACCTGCTGCCAAGACTGTGATCAAATGGGACGGAATTAGTGCGCTTAACAACTTCCAGTTTTTTCCAAAATTTAATTTGATGGTATTACAACGAAGAATCGGGACCGGAAAGCTGCCGCACCATGGAAAGACATTTCAAACGGTGGCATCTTTTCTGATACGTTCGAAGTTCGGGAGCCTCCTGATACACGTTCTTAGTCAGGCTTTAGAAAAATTAATCCAAGAAAAGAGGTCGTGCAAAAATCTATGTCCGAGCAATTTAGTTTTCCAAGAGAGAGAGGAAGTAGGCGGCCTTTTTAGCCTTCCAGAAGATGGTCCCGTGTATTCAAACAAGCGAGGGTTTGAAAAAGGAACACTAATTCAGGACAGTGCCAGGAAGAGGATACTCTGCAAGAGTAACTGGAGAAAAAAAGAAAGTTCCAGCTGTTGGTTTATATACAGCATCAGAACGCTCAGGATTAGAACTACTTTCCCCGCATGGGATGGGATGGGCTCTTAAAACAACAGGGAGTAGAACTCTTACAGAAGGACAAAGAAAGTTCCTGACAGAACAGTTTCTCATCGGAGAGGAGTGTGGTAAAAAGGCAGATCCACAACAGATATCGCAAGAAATGCGAATAGTCAGGGATGACACGAGTGCTCGTCTATTCAGTGAAAAAGATGTCCTATCGCCCAGTAGGTTGCAGGTTTCTTCTAAAGACGGGACGAAGATACGGAAAACGTCAGCGACACCGAGAACGAAGAACGTGAAAGTGAAGACGAAGAGCAGCAGTGTGCAGTCGAGGCAGAGGCCCTACATTTGCACCTACAGGCAATTGTAGAAGACGAAATTGTTCTACGTCACCCGATTGTCCCCCTTTTGAGCAACATTTGCAATTTGGTTCATACAAAAAACTTATCTATCTACCTTAACGGTTGCTATGCTGAGGGTCATTTGTGAAGGTATTGGCTTAAACGTAAATGACGTCACGGGGAAAAGGAAAAAGCCACTTACGGGTCGTATTACGCGGGTCGTTAAGGAGTGCTCTTGTGCTCGAGTGTGATCGGTGTAATGCGAAAAACAGACTAGAAAAGACGCATACAGATCATACTTGTCTCTATTGCAGCAGTCAAGCTAAGAAACGCTAAGCTTCTATCCATTGTTTTACCTAATTACAACTATAGCTTTTAGGGACTGCAGAGCTGTGGGGCTGGTTGGGCTATAGCCCTGATCGCGAATAATTTTGCGTTTCCTATGATTTCCGAAGCTCTCAATCTCAAAATTTTCCGGGGGAACAATAATTGCCCCCGGACAACTCTAGACAAACTCGCGCCTTCAGCGATCTTTAAGCTCCTGCTACGTGTGGGTTAGCTCCACCAATTCAAAATAATCCCCGCGGTCCCTGGCTAATCCCACTTTATGACAACTCGGAACTGCTGTCTTGTCATTGCAAAGTTAATGTCAAACGTTTTTCTTTGCCTACTCGATTGTAGACAATTACCGCCGAAGTACGGTGCTTTTCTTGTTGCTTTTTCTTTACATTGGGTTTAATTACTGGTCAATTTGGCTAATCTAATATATAAAAGTTTGATTTTTTAGTGATAAGCGGTGTAAAAATATGTGACGTTCCATTCCGTAGCGGTGACTTCTGTTTCTCCTGTCTCGGTAATGTGGGACATTCCAATATGGCGGAAGCGAAATTGTCCTTACTTTAGGAAGTATTTGAGAAAAAATTACTAAAGATCCCAGACAAATAAAATTGCACAAAGTTAAAACTTTCCTTTAAAGAAGACGAAAAGGTTTCCTGGCGAGATTCGTTGGGTATCGCGGATATTTCTGACATGTTTTCACCAGCTATTCGACCAAATGTAGAACGGATGTGTGCTTCGTCATGTATTCTTCATGTCTTCGTCATGTGTTTTTTGCGAGCAGCGTAAGCGAGCTGTTTTTGGAATCAGTGGACTGAAATAGCTTTAGTTTAACTGGATATCCGTAAAGATACTTGGAAACGATCGACAACTGAAATGACTCAATAACTTTGTGAAAGTTGGTAATTTTCCAGGTGATTACTACTAAAAGTTAAAAATTTCTTTGAAACGAAACCATGTAGACCTTGTAACGGTTTTCGACGCCATCTTGACGAGTAGGCAAGCGCGTGAGAAATTACAGTGATTGTATGAGAATCTAATGTCGAATAATTTCCTTAGAACGGCTGTTCTGAAAAAAATATTATTTGTAAACTAAAGCTTCACTCCTAAGGATTCTCCTGAAAAAAATTGAGGGCCAATGTACGTGATCTTCTCGATCTTGGTAAAATTAAAATTTTCTATACATTTGTTTGAAAGAAAGTCCTGGGAAAATTACAGACAAATATATGGAAAATCTAAAGAAAGCCT